TTTGTGTTCTGGGTTTAGTTTTAGTTTGCTGATGTTGTTTGCGAAGTTTAAGGTGTTAGTGATGTTATATTCATATTTTAAGTTTAATAAAGTTTGTAGTTGTTGGTGCATATGTTTAGCTAGTTTGTGTGTGGGGGCGTTGGTATTATTTATTATTGGCCTTATTGGTGCATCTGGTTTATGTATTTTTATTTTTGCATTCAATTTAGGGGCTTGTGGGTTCATTTGGTGTGTGTATTTTCTAGTTTCTGGTTTTATTACGTTCTTACATGTTTTTAATGTGTTTTCCACTAATTTCTGGAACCTCGATGTAGGATTTGTTTTTAGTTCGATAATATTATTATTATCGATGAATTGTTTTACTTTGTTATTTATGTCTTTTTCGTAAATAATTACAAATAATAATTTGTAATTTGACAATTTGTGATTGATAGTGTAACGGACCAAATATGAAACAATTCAAAAAAGCAGTTATTTGCCTGTTGCTGTACAAGAGAGATCACTGAAGATTATGAGAAACTTGGGGTTAGCAACTGAGTATCCAAGGTGTTGCTATGCACTGAAGTAAATCTGGCCCTCAGTTCAGGTTTTAACAAATAATGTAGTGATGTGTAAAATCAATTAATACATTGCACTGCATATGCAGTGAACAAGGATATATGCATTATAATCTGTGTAATTGACAGGTAAAAGTGGTGCCTCTGTGTGAAGGGAAACTGAAAATTTCACTTAAAATCCACTTGAGTGATGTGGTGACAAAGGCAATGCAATCAACTACCTGTGATGTCTTTGTAATAGGAGAAGAGCCTCAGGTAATGCTCCATTTCTAATTATGATAAAATTAGTATGGTGAAATGCTTTTACACATGTTCTCAAGCCTGCATATTGCTTCCATCCATCTGTCCCTTTGCATAACACACAATTCAAGAATTTCTGACTAGATTTTCATGAAACTTTTATTTTGCGGATTTTACTGAAGTTTGCTGGCACATTCCAGTTTTGATTAAAACTGGATAAGAATAGTGGATACCACATGGAAGTCTACAGGCATTTCTGCATTTATCTCAAGCTTAATTCATGCAATATTTATCACACCAAAAAATATTTCAAACAAAAGTTTTAGACAAAGATTAAATATATTTTATGTCCATTACCCTTTTTATGTAAATCTTATGATTTTTAGGTAATTAAGCAGTAATGGCAATGTGTCCATTTCCTGAATTGTATATTTAGCAACCAACAATAATAGCCTTCTAAACATGCACAAAGATTATCAAACAATTAACTGATATTCTGAAAACATGAAGATTTCTGAAGTCTCATATTCATGGTAGTGATTAAAGAGAGCTCCAACCTGAATTTGTATGTCTTTGTGAAATGTTTAATCAGAAGGTAATTTTGCCTAAGAGTATGAGTTACTTCTCGAGTTTATCACAGTAAGTACCATGTAAACCTAAATATGAGGCTAACCCATCAGTCAGATAAAAAACAAAATGTGTCCTTTAATTCTGATGGTTGTAATCAAAAGACATAAAAACCATACACCTGAGAAACAAATTCAAAATTTAATATGTTAAATATAATTCTAGGTATTTTCGCAGATATTAGAATTAGAAATTAGAACTCCTCATAATCATCTTCATATGTATTCTTAAAGACTTGAAAAAAAA